GATAAGCTATGATACATCATCATCACCATCATCAAGTGTCAGATCTAAAAAAAAAGATATTTACGATCATGGTTCTCTATTCATTTCTTCAGTGTGTGTGTGTGTGTGTGTGTGTGTGTGTGTGTGTGTGTGTGTGTGTGTGTGTGTGTGTGTGTGTGTGCGGGTGTGTGTGTTTGACATATATGTATTTATTCTTCTTTAGCCCGTAAAATTTTGTTACGGTCTGGAACTGTCTTTTGATAAACTGTCCCCAAAGATTAAATTAAAAAAACTGCCAGATATTGCGTAAACTTGGACACGATTTTCAAATACTTGATTTAAAACATAAAAGCTCTGAAAGTTACCCAAACATTAAAATTATGTGTCTCCCCGGAAAGTTTATCATTAATGTTTTTGTTGAGGGTTTCCTGTGACTTTGCAATGATTTGGCACGCCTGTTGCATACACTGACAGCTAGACCCTCCTAACCTACAAATGGCTACAGTAGGCTACACCTGTTATAAATATATTTTATTTATAGTTCAGACATCTGCACTGGCTCCCCGCCCAGTGTCAAAGTTTAATTGGGTCTCCTCTTCACTCAGTGTTCCAGTGCGGTTAATGTTTTTTGCACAGCAGCGCATACAAAACTAATTTTCATGTCCAGAAGAGTGCACAATTCACATCTGAACCAGTTTTGAACAGCACTAAACTAACGTTTAATTGCCAAGGTTTTTTTTTGTAATTACGGCGTGAACACAGAACATAAGCCTATCAAGGTGAAAATGTACTTTTATTTTAAATGCAGGTGTTTTTAACGCCCCATCGACCTCTTTCAGATCGTTGGCGAAGTGGGATTCTGATCCTGCCTGTCACGGCCAATCCAGACTAAGAGGGTTACAACATTCAGCAGAAAAAACGAAATACTCGACAAAATTCTCTCCCCATTCGGGAATCGAACTCGACGGGTCTACTGCCTGCGACAGCAATCGCTACACCACAAACGTTGGTGCGAAAAATGTTAGATAAGTTTAACATGCACAGCCTTAATTGGACGTTCAACACCAGTGTGAATTATTACCAAGTTAAAGGCATTTTGATGTCGAACAAACAAAAACTAAGCATTACTTCCAACGCCCATAAATTTGACCTTGTGAGGAGTCATTTTATTTCAGCTATCTTTAGCAATTGCAATCCTGAAAAGTAATCTCAGTGACAACAAAAATAAAGGTCTTAAAAGGTTAGGTTTAGCCAATCCTTGTTTTCGTTTGTGAATACAATATACTTAACCCTATCCAACGTCGTGTTTAATTACTATCCTATCCATACGACGCGGGGAACTCTGTGCCACCACTTTCAAAAGAGAAAATTTACTCGTTAATCCTATCCGTACGCTTCGCATAGCAGTCTGTCAGAATGATTTTTTAAAGAAATACTGAAAGTTTCAAAGAGATCTAGAAGTATTCTAAAATGTGAAGAATACAACCCCGTGGGTACAGAATGATCCCAGGGCGTACGGGTAGGGTTAACATGTTCAGTTCAGTTACCAAAGACAATAAAAAATAAATTGCAAGCAATAGAAATGTGGTTTCTCTCAAGATTGTTGAGAATTTCACCAAGGGAAAAGAAATGTACTGGGGTAGAGTTGGAAGAAGCTCGAGTAGGCTACCCGCTAATTAAAAACAAAAAGGAAACGCGGTTGTCGGTTGTTGTTGTTGTTGTTGTTGTTGTTGTTGTTGTTGTTGTTTGTTTTTTGGGGATTTTTTTTTGGGGGGGGGGGGGCACTTCAATTGACATCCAGAAAATTAACAGGGAAAGAAAGATAGGGAAAGACCAAGAACACTTTTCTCAGTCACTGTGAGAGTAAAAGGACCTGATCCCAAGATTTTAAGTAACTTGAAGATAATTGCAAACTGCTCATGCAAGCGGCTTTTTGGTTGAAGCCATAGATGTACGCTATAGTACTAGATACAGTACGCCCCTCTCTCGCCTTGCTGCGCGATGGCCACATTTGACAGCGGCGTCCGCCATGTTTTTTGTGGCAAGTTTTGTGAAGGAGTACATGCTAAAGCAATGGGCTAGGCATATTTTCTCTCTCTCTCATACGCGACAGGCGAGGCTTGGTTCTTGTTGATTTTTTTTTTTTACATGGGCGCCGTGGCGTACTATATCTAATTACTAAATTGCAATAATACGGCGTTCTTTCTACAACTAGATCTACACATAAATGTATTATTAAATAGATAGAGATAGAGATATGGGCTTTAAAAAATTCTTCATCAGCACTTTATCTACGAGGTGGTTTATTTTTTATTGACCAAATCAAAGCGTATAGGGCCTATAGAACTTTTAAAAAGAAGTATGAAAAGATATGGGTGTCATGGGAATCTCCCTTAACCACCCCACCCTCTCTCTCCTCCCGAATCCCAATACCA